GGCATTCTTTAACGTTGTGCTTCTCAAAGACGTTTATCGGACAGCCACTTGGTCATCGGGTCACATGTTCTCAAAACATTGTCATCATTCCCTAACTGGCGGTTGACACATCAGTGACTAAGTCAGTTCTATCTGCCGCTATGAAGCAGTGACTCAGAGTTCCACCAGCCATAGTGAGCACTGCTTTGTAGTCACCTACAGGGGAGAACCCAGGGGGACATCACTCGAGGAAGAAAAGGAAGTTACTCACCTCGTGCAGTAATGGCTGTTCTTTGAGGTATGTGTCCCCGTGGGTGCTCCACGACTCTCCCTTCCTCCCTGCTACTTGGAGGCCAGTTGTTCTGTGGTAGATGAAGAACTGAGGGAAGGGGGTCGAGGCCGTGCTCAACTGTCAAACCGCCAGTAGCACGAGATGCTTGCTGCACATGCGCTGCCTGACTGCTAACAGATATAAAAAAGTCTCCAATCCTGTGGCTCCGGGGAAGACCCGTTACCTACAGTGGAGCACCCGTGGGCGCACACACCTCGAAGAACAGTCATTACTGCATGAGGTGAGTACCTTCCTTATATTGTTGCTCAGATTGCAATGACTGAATAATACTTTCCAACACTCGTACTAGTATTCTGACAGTAGCAAATATTCATAAGTATAGACAAATATTTGCATATGCCAAATTTAGATCTAGAATTACTCTTACTCTTGTGGAAGTTTAGATTTGATGAGCATAGTCCCATGAACAGCCCTGTCTTAAATATATAATCACTGGATTGTTTTCATACATAAATTAGACAACATAGAAATAAAACCGTGGAAAGGATCTTAAGAGGTCTTCTAGTTCATTTTCCTGACACTGTGGCTAGATCAAGTTGCGTATATGTAAATCTTCAGTGTATTTCTAAAATTCAGCACACAGTCTCTTAATATTTTATATTCTTCATGTTAGAAGATGCATTTAAAAATAGACTTCCTCTTTGTAGGTGATCATCTGTTTGCCTTTTTCTTAATCATTGCAGTGAAAGAGAGGGTGCGCTAGATGTATGAAAGAGGTTTTGTACGATTTTTGTTATCTTTTAGATAACATTGAAATGGTATACTATGTGTAAGCTTGTTGCTCTTTCAACCCTGCTCTTCTTGATTGCATAAACAAATAGATTTATACCACTAAACAGGGAACACTTGATCAGTTGGCCAGACTGATTTTTTCCCAGCTTAATATTAGCATGCAACTTTTGTTAATTTTTTGTGTGATAACTCATCATTCAGTAGCTTTTGGAAATGATTAAGTTGCATAAAGTGAGTTTCAGGCTTTGTGTACATACAACAAGCGCTACTTCATGGAATTAGGGCAGAGCAGCTGGTATTGTTACTTAGAGGCCTCCTTGGTAGTTCTGTCCCATAGTGTGACCACACTGTTGGTCTCTATATGGCAGTGATTCTGTCCATTCTGGTCTGTGCTGGGGCTTACACACCCCACACAAAGGCTAAGTAAGAGAGGAAGCAAAAGGATCTTTTGCCTCAGCAGCTCTAGAGAAGTGTTTCTGAAAGTGCTCCGTGAAATCACTTTAGAAACACATTGTCTGGCTGCCCCGGTTTGTTTATTTACTGGCCCCATAGCCACGGAGCCTCTTGACTCCATTTCACTCTTTGCAGCCAAGCGGAGCAGCAGGAAGTGGTGGCTCAACCCATGTCGCTTCCTGCAGCTCCCCTTGGCTGCAAAGGACGAAACGGAGCCAATGGGAGCCATGAGGCTCCGTGACCATGGCACCAGTAAATAAACAAACCCTGGCGGCCAGTTAATGTGTTTCTCAAAGTGGTTTTATGGAGCACTTTCAGAAACACTGGTTTAGAGCATACTCCAAATGGATGACCTACTTAAAAGGGTTCCTTTACGAGTCAAGCCACCATGGTGGGATATTGAAGGAGAGGCTGTCTGGAGGGAGGAAGCCATTTTGTAGCCTTAGAACAGAGTGATCGAAGGAGAAAAGTCTGGACTTGTAGGTAAGACCCAACTAGGAAGCCAGGGACTTGACCCTTTTCTCTCTGGTATTCCTGAGAAGGGAGAATAACTTAATGTTGAGAAGTGAACTGGGAGGTACCCATTTGACTATTTAAGTTGTTGAAGATGATTGGGAACTCTTTGCTAGGGAGGCGCAGAGTGCTGTAATCATGCCTCAACCTGAAGAGAAAGTGGGGAGATAGGAAATAGCCCAGGGGAAGCAAGAAGGGACTTAGACACTCCTTGTGCCATCCTCTTTGAGCCCTGGGATGGAATCCAGTGGAGACGGAGGGTGCGGGTCTCCTACCTTCCCATCCTCCTGTTTGTCTGTGAAAACTGGCCTGTAGACTGTCCAGCAAGGCCATCCCAGGATGTTGGACTCTTGAGGGCTTGCCAGTCCACAAGTGAGATCCTCTATATCAGTGTGTCTTAACCGGTAGTACGCCATCCCTTAGGGGTACGCAAGAGAAGTCTGGGGGGGGGGTACCTCAACACAAGTGAAATTTGGCAAAAAATGTTTGGGATTTTGTCCCGCAAAGGGGATCGGGGAGGGGGCGGTGGCACGTGCCTGTCAAATTGAACGTTTGGAGCCACACACCCTGACATTAACAGCCACTCTGTGCACACTCCCCAGCACCTGGCAGGAAAAGTGTGGCTGCAGCGGCAGCTCCGGTGAGACCCAGGGCAGTTCCATGTTGGGGGGCAGGTTTGGGAGGGAAGAAAAAAAATCACTTCCACGGCCACCTCTCCTAGTTTGTTTCCTCTCCGGCAGCCTCCCCGGGGTGCTCCAGCAGGGGGAACAGATGAACCTGGAGACACGCATTACCCCCACCCCCTCCAGCAGCTCAGTGCAATGCATCCCCATCGCCCCTTCCCCATAGCTCTGCAGAGAGGAGCTAAAAGGCGATGAAGTGGCACAATACGCTTTGATCTAAAGGGCTCCCCCGCATCAGTGGCATAGTTGGGTGGGCAGTTACCCCCAGGCACCACGTTGGGGGGGGGGGGGTGCGCTGAGCTGGGGTGTAAGCGCACAGCCTAATGCGGTGAGTCCACCACTGGCAAGCTACTTGCTCCCGGCAGAGGCAAGGCTGGGCAAGGCCAGGTGTCGGGAGCAGGCACTTCAAAGGTAGCGTTACCATATGTCCGGTGCCTGACTCTGGGGGAGGGGAGGGGCATTGGGTTAGAGCGGGGAGGGATGCTGGGGATGCCTGGCTCTGGGGGAGGAGTGGGTGCATTGGGTTAGAGCAGGAGAGTTTGGGGGCGCTTGGCTCTGGACGTCTTCTATATTTATTTATTTTTTTAAAAGGGGTACTTTATGAAAAAAAAGGTTGAGAAACACTCCTCCATATGATCACATAAGAAAACAGAAGATAAACAGAAGAAAAATAGCCCCTTTGCAGAGACCCTGTGCTTCTGCCATCCTCATATTTGAACACAGATTCATTCCCAGTTCAGTCTTACTAGATTTGGTCACAAAAAACTGCAACTTCATACCCCTGCCTTAACCATGGTCTTAGGGTGCATCTGTAAAGTTAACAGAAGCCCACTTAAGTCATGATCATTCCCCGAGATATGTGTGGATGGGCCCCTAGCTTGTGCAGAGCTCCCATTAAATGTGAGAATTGAAGAAATGGTCTGAATTTTCTTCTACCAGGAATTGATTATTTGAGTTTATACTCCGCTCTTTCTGTAATTATGAAGACCCAAGATATTTTCTCTGACAAGGAGAAGGAGTTGTCTTTGAAGGCTTTAAATACAGGTTTTTCTTGCTTCAGACTATTCTTAGTTTTAAGGACGTTTACCTGCTTGTGTGTGCTTAGTTTTTCCTTTTTGTCATGTTAGTTCTGTAAGCATGTAAATCACAAGCACCTATTTGTGCTCCATGTTTACATTTCTGGCATCTTTGTGTGTAGTCAGCATCTCCCTGGTTTTGTTAAATTAGTACTTCACATAATGGAATACTGTTTTGCTGGGTACTGTGCTATTGCTAACCTGTTGGGCTGGCTAAAAAACAAGAAGTCACAGTTAGCAAAGTGGAGGCTAAGGATGTAAAATCCCAATCAATCAGCTAACTGGTTAAATGTTAGATTATCCTAATGTTCAATGTGTTAATTGACTAAGCAGGATCCTGGACAGGTGACGCTTACCAGCTGACTAAAGTTACTCGTTCACATCCCTAATTTTGAGGTGAAAATTGTATGTAATCTTGTATATGAAGATTATTGTAAATTATATGCAGAGAAAGAAAATTAAGTTTACATAGGCATCTTTTAATTTTGGCATTTCCTATCTTTTCATAAAGGCCTTTACTCTCATTCAGAATAGTACCTTACCTTGGAAAGATTGTGTTATGCCCAACAAATAGGAAATTAGTGCATAATAAGAATGAAATATTGATATTATTAAAATCTATTTGAAGAATTCTCATTGATTTTAATGGGAACCGGATTTGTTCCTAAGTACAACATTAGTCTAACAAATATATGATAGTTTTATGTTTCAAGAAAAATGCAGGTTTTAGTCTTTTTTTTCCCTAAGGGAGAGATTTTAAATATGAGGTTTCTTTTTTAAAATCACATCTATATTGCTTTGAGGTTGGCAAACATTTTTTTCCATTTGTTATCCTGGTTAACAAGAAACTCTTAAGCTTGCACTTAAAAAATGTATTTATTTGCATTGTTGATCTAACAGCAGTTTTTGATGTTTCGTCAAGAGTATATTTCCTAAGAGGAGTAATTGTGTACTTATTCATATTGGCATTACAGAAAATTTTAAAAAATGATGGAAAGAATTGAAATTTTGTTTAAAATCTTTTCAGTTAAAGATCTCCCGGTGTTGTTAAAAAGCATCATTCTTGTATAGAATGACAGCCATAAATAATGTTGGTTTTTATAAAAATTTTCAACACAAAATTCTGGTATGTATATTAGAGTGGATGTATACTGGTTAAGCAAGTGCAAAAATAAAAGTGCATACTAAATCATTTTCCTTTTTATTTTGAAGGATGAATTCCACTCAAGATTGCGTTTTAATCGAAGAGGACTGGTTGCTATGGCAAATGCTGGAGCTCATGATAACGGCAGTCAATTTTTCTTTACGCTGGGCCGTGCAGATGAACTTAACAACAAGCACACCATTTTTGGAAAGGTTAGCTTTATAGAGTCATAACTTGAATCATGGTTTAGACAGAGACAAATGTACTTCTAAATTCAGAGAGTGTTTCCTTAGCACACCACACAACTCAAATGTATTTTCCTACAAGTTGGACCTCCGTGGTCCGGCACCCTTAGTATATGAATCTTCCATCCCAAACAAGGAAATTTGTTGGACTAGAGGAGGTCAGGCTTTCAGGCTTGGTGGGAAGAAAGGAAGCAGTAGCCTCCCCACTGGACCTCCCAGGGCCAGCGGGGGGGGGGGGGGGGGGGGGGCAAGTGGGGCAATTTGGCCCAGGCTGTGGGCCCCACAGGGGCCCCCACCAGAATGTCTGAGGTCTGAGACAGGGAGTGCCAGGAAGGGGCCCCCAAAATTGCTTTGCCCCATGCCCCCTAAATCCTCTGGGTGGCCTTGGGGCTTCCTTCTCCAGTCTCTGCTGTCAACAGCACTCTGGGCTCCAGCCGACTCTGTTTTCTCTGGTCAAGCTATTTCTGTTTCCCCTGGCCTCGCTGGCTATGCTGCTATGGGCCCCGTTAGTCCTGCCAGCTCTGTCACCCTGCTGGCAATATGGGCTCTGCTCCTTCGCCAACTCTGCTGCCCCTGCTCTCTCGCTGGCTCTGCTCCTCCCTCTGCTGCTGGAGCTCTCTGATCCAGGAGCTCTTTGGTCTGTCCTCATGGGCTCTGCTGCTGCTAGCCCTGAGGTTCAACCTGTACTTTCAAAGTTATTTTAGTACTTATTAGGTACATCTTAGTTTTTGTCTGTCTTCCATGCCTGGCATTTATGTTCTCAGTTGGGAGTTTCTCGAAGGAAGGAACGAATGAATGAATGAATGAATTAATTTCCCCTTGCTTTTCTTCTAAATGGAACCATTCTGATAAATTTTTTCAGAGTAATCCAATAAAAATGCTCTGAATGTTGCAATTCACAGCACTGAATGAGAAATTTAAAAAAAGAATAGTTGTTTTTTGTTTTTTTTTTCCTGAGATCCACAAATACTTCTTTAGCTCCATTTGCTAACTTTTCTGGTCATTAAATAAAAAAACACAGAATCAGGTTGCTAAAGAGCAGAGTCTTGTTTCATTTAAAATATTTGTAGCCATACGTAATCTAAATTTAGATAGCCCTCCTTCGTATATTCAAAATTATTTACATAACAGTCTTTAAATTTTGCAGAATAATTAACAAGCAGTCTGAAAATAGCTAACCTTTGAAATAACTAACTTAAAAATACTACTTTGTGCGTTTGACAGATTACTGGGGATACTATATACAATATGTTACGACTGACTGAAGTAGAAATTGACAAAGAAGAAAGACCACTCAATCCACACAAAATAAAAAGTAGTGAGGTATGTATGCTGTTAATTAAAATATTCTATTTTTTTTCTTTGTTTTTATACAATTGTATTCTGGTAGGCTGTATTGTCATTACTTTATCTGAGTATCTTTTTATTGCTGAAAAATAATTTTTATAATAGTGTATTTAAAAAAATTAAAAACATAAGCATTCTAAATTACAACAAAATGCTTTTTAAATTAAATATTTATATAAAATAAAATAATTATATCTATTTAAAACATTTAGTGTATATATAAATATAAATATAAAATAAATATTAACTTTTTCCTTAGGTTTTATTTAATCCTTTTGATGACATCATTCCACGAACAAATAAAAAGCTGAAAAAGGACAAACCAGGGGAAGAAATAAAAAAGTCAAAATCCAAAGGCACAAAGTAATTATACCTCATAATATGGGCTTTTAAACATTTTTTTACAGCTCTAATTATAAAATAATTTTGCTCTTGTTCTTTGATATGTTAATGCTTTGGAATAGTACCTTTTAAAATAAATGTAGTATCTGTTTGTTTGGTTTTTTTTTTTTCAAAATGAGAAGACATAAAATCATTTTCATTGTTTAAGAAATTGTCCCTTTTCCTTTATTTCTTAATGCTGAATATTATAGTTGGTAAAATATTGTTCATAATTAGTTGCAGGTACAAGATTTCAGCATTACATATGTTTAAACAGTTACATGTTTACATAACTACTAATTATGTGCTTCTCCTTTTCTGGATATCAAATGGGAAGAGAATTAGGGATGGAAAATCTTATTTAATTAGTTAACCGGTTAAACATTACGTTTAAATGATTAACCAATTAAATGGGGTGGGCAGGAGGGCCTGGAGTGGCTCACCATGGCCTGGCTGGAGTTGTCCACCTGCTGTGGATGGGGGCTGCTCCAGCCACACTGGAATGTCCCATGCTTGCTCCGGGCTGGGCCTTCTGTGGACGGAGGCTGCTCCAGCGGAGCTGGAGTGCTCCTGCTTCTAGTGTGCATGGCTGGGCCCATCGCGGGTGAGAAATACTGTGGTCGGGCTGGAGTGGACCTCACAACAGTGTGCCTGGGCTGGGCTGGCCGCGAAGGGGGGCTGCTCTGGCTGGGCTGGAGCGCTCCTAACCACAACACAGGTGGGGGCTGCTCTAGCTATGGCTGGTTAACCATAACTTGTAAGCATAACCACTTGCATCCCTAAAGAGACTAGTGTGTGACTATGTAATTTAAAAATTTTATGATAATGCAGATGTACAAGTTTGCATTAATTCTAGCATTTTCTAACTTGAGAGAGCTGTGGAACCTTAACAATCTTGACACAGGGTTTTTTGAGTAAATTCCTGGTTTAAAACAAAGACACTAAAATGAAAAAACAAATTGTGTCATATGCAACTATTATGTATATTGGGTCATCAGCAACAGTCAAGTAGTTCCTAGCATTGATCTCTAACACGTAAACCTACTGCGTAACTGGTAGGAGTAAAAGGCTGTTATCCTCTGTTTGTGTCAGGTGTTTTGGAGGGGGATGAGTGCAAAATTTGACATTGAATTTCACTTCTATTTGCAGATGTAGAAAAGTAGCATATTTAGTTCAGTATGCATAGTTTAGACTAGTCAGTTAAACAGTTACCCAGTACCTGGGAGCTGCAGCGTCAGCCCACACCCCCAGCCCAGAGCTTGTACCCCCTCCTGCGTACCAACTGTCACTCTTGAGTTCCTCCCCACATGTGGAGCCTACCTCCTGCACCGAACCCCTCATCCCCAACCTCACACCAGAGCCTGCACCCCCACCCAGAGCCTTTGCACCTCAACCCTCTGTCTCAGCACTGAGCCTCCCACCACACTCTCAACTGCTTGGCCCTACTTCTACCATGTGCATTTTGTTATGTATTATCTCCACATTGGTGTGCACAAAAAAACCATTCTGCTAGGGGTGGAAAAAATTAGAGGAAACACTGCTCCCCAGCCCTTTTCATCATTTGGCTTTTGCCTTCTCCTCCAAGATGTTTAGGTATAAGCAGTTCCTGTCCCTTGCACACATTGGCCTCTTGGACCCAGAAGGACCAGCTGTACAAACTGCAGTTAGAGGCATATAAATTGGTCAGATTTGGGTGAATTTTCATGAGGATGGTAAAAGGCTCTCTGGGATAACTAACTCCCTGTTACATTTCTAGTAACGGTTGTAAGAACCATTGTAAGAATTTTTGTAACATGGACAAAATGATGTTTATGTCTCTAATCTCTTTCTCAGAAGCATCCGGATGATTATTTTAGCTGAAATTTATACCCAGCTACTACTCCCTTCCTTCCAAAAAAGCCCAAAGAAAATCAGCTTGAGGCAGACATCTGAAATTTAAAATTTTACCCCAAAAGTTGAAGTTTGGCAAAGTTATAAGCAACTAAAGTATCTTTGTATAATAGAAGTTGAGTAGTAACCATGTAGCTAATGGCTTTAAATGAGTAATGCCAGTTATTTACTGGATAGTATATATATTGGAATTTTGAAATTTCATATTTGTTGTTTACATTTTCAAAATGTTGACTGACTCTAAATGTATTTTTTTTTAAAGAAATTTTAATTTGCTTTCATTTGGAGAAGAAGCTGAAGAAGAAGAAGTGGAAGTGAACAGAGTTAGTCAGGTGCAGTTCTGAATTACTTGTCTCTCTCTCTTCATTTCCTATTCTTTTGGCATAATTGTTTTATAGTGATAGTCTATAGTCCGTTTGAAACCTTGAAACTTGCTCATTTTTGTAGTTTTTCCAGATTTGATCAGTACAAATATTAGGAGTAGGTTGCTTACTCAGTTTGCCACATTTTATTTTCAGATTTGCAGTCTTGTAAAGCTAATTATAAAATTATTTTCTACTTGTGTAATTTTAAATATGATTTTAGCTTTCTGATTTATACATGTGTTGTCTCTTTCTTTAAGTATTGTATTGTTGTACTTCATAGTATAGCATATTCGTGGTTCTGCCAGTCAAAGCCCAAAGAGAGAATATATGCCTTCATGTGAGAGAGAGAAGCTAAATGATAAATTCAGAAGTTAGGAGATACCAGATTTGTGGTTGTCTATTCATCTGCAGTTCTGTCCCTTTGTCCATCCGTCCTGTGCTCTAAATGAAGCTAGGAGCCTATGGAATAAACAGTATGTGATCATGTAATAAAGACTCTATCATGGTGAATATGCAGAAGTAGGAAGAATTAAAGTTACACTGGTGCCATAATTCAGGTTTCTCTTGCTTGATTTTGCCATTTAAACAAGATTATTTAAATATGTTTTTGTGCTTTTCAAAGTCTATATTTTAAAGGAAATTGAATAAAAAAGTTGTCACTACATGTCCATCACAAAGTCTAATTGCTTGGATACACTGATCTGTTGGCTTTGTGCCAAAGAGGTCAAGGAGTCGTCAGAGGAATATCATTAAAAAAAGAGCATATTTCTGAAAACTTAGGGTAATATTTTCAAATGATTATGTCTAAATTAACCATTGCATAGAGTTCCTCTCTTACAACATCATCCTCATCTCCCACCAATCTAGCTACCACTCTTTCTGCTCAACTAATACTTCTCTCATCAAAGTCACTTATGATCTCTTTTTTGCCAAATCTCAAGGTAATACATCTTCATCCTTTCATTTCTCTGAGTTTTCATGTTATTAATCATAGCCTTATTCACAAACTTCTACTCTTCCTTGGGTTTTACAATACTGTCTTTACTCATTCTCCTCTCACCTCTCTGGTTCATCCTTTGCATCTTTTGGCAAGTGCCTATCCATTTTTCCGCCACTTTGAGGATGATGTTCCTTGGGGTTCCTTCCTTCTTCTTCTCTTCTTTTTGATGGGTCTTGTCACTTACACAAAGTCAGCTATATCTTTACATACCTGACCCATTTTTCTATTTCCTTTTGAATCTTGAATCAGACTGTTTCTTTGATACCTTCACCTGGATGAGCTGCCATCATTTTAAGCTTAAACTGTTCCAGACTGATCTCTTCTTTCTTCCCAAATTCTCCCTCCTTTCATCTTCATTGTCACTGTCATGAGTATCTTGGGTCACTCTTCTTCCATCATATGTATTCAGACTGACTGAGCTGGACTACATTTAGAATGAGAATTTCACTAGTCATCATTCTTCTTTATTTGAAAATGAGGAAAAACTCCTTATCTACACCTGGGTACCTATCTATTAAATAGGTGATTTTTTTCTATCTCTTCCTCCCCACAGAAGTAATGAAATGGCAGTCAAGTATTGGCTAGATCAGGATACCGGGGCAAAGAGGGAGGAGACAAAATGGAGATCAGAATGATGAGTCCGATGCCAGGCATCACACTGGGTCAGGAGGCCAGGAAATTAAGTTGGGAGCAGGAAGCACAAAGCACACACTCTTAGAACAGTATGCAACCCAGTTGTTTGGAAAGCATTCTGTTTCTGCTGTTGGCTTAATTAGGGTAGCTAACTGCTTCTAAACTCTGCCAATAGGATCTCATGGATGAGGTCTCAAATTGGGGGCCAGCATCACAGGTCCCAGGTAAGTGACTATCAGTAGGCTGCCAGGTAATGAGTTGGAGTGCAGCCTCTCCCATGAACCCAGCAGACTCAGATGCAAGACCTGTGGTTTATGACACCTGTTAGCCAGATTCCTTAAGAAAACTGGGGTCTGAGCTGAGCATAGCAGGTTCTAAGATACTGCATGCAGATGCAGGGCTATTCTGTTAATTGATTTTGTAGACAGATTGGATGGGTCCTATTGGCTTCAACTCAAGATAATAAAAAGGTTGAGAGTTGGAGAGACTGTATATAAATTTGGATAGAATAAATGGCCCCAGAGAGTCAAGATATGAACATGATCCTGTCACTGTATAATACCAAGCAGTTAAATGGGGCTTGGATTTTCATTACAGAGACCTCAGTCAGCTTAGTACCAGGAAATTCATATCAATGTTTGGAAGGTTATTGATCAGGATACACAGAGAGGAAGAATCAGAAAAAGAATGTTTATGAAGCACAAACATAATCAAAACTTGTTTAAGGCACTTTTTCAGTGAGAGCTTATCAGTTGTGTCTCATTTTGTGTCTCATTTTGTCAGGCAGTCCTTGGTTGGGAATAAAGGGTTCTGATGTTTACTTCCAAGGTATGAATAGAAGTCATCTTTGCCTTTGATAAAACAGACACAAATAGGAAAAAAAGAGAAAGGATAGAAAAGATGAGGAAATTATGGATTTTATTGATGTTGTCAGGATACCAACACCTGCTCAGGCACAGACTGATACTCTAAGCTGGCACCACACAAGTTATTCCTGTTGACTCAGGCTCACTTCTTCAGTTTGGGGCATCATCTGACTTGACCGATCAGTCGTGGGTGGGCAATCTCATCTCATAGTATTGTTACTATGTGGAACAGTGGATTTTAGGACTGTGTGTGAAAAGCTATTTGAAATAAGTTAGAAGGAAGATAGTAGGGGGAGAGACATAGGAAGGGAGGACAGAGCAGAGCACTGGATGTCTCAGGCTAGAGTTTTACTAGTGCACAGATAATGCACTAGCATCCTGAGGTCTGGGTACCACAGTGATATGATGTAGCATGAGTGAGTCTTTGAAGTGAAGGGGAGATCTGCCAACATTTTCTCCAATTCCAGGAATTCCTCAATCTGTCCATTTCCCCATTTTTTTTTTTTTTTTTTTTTTGAAATGTGGTGATGGCAAAACAGCCCATCCTCTCATTATTTCATTCCCAAATAGGTCTAATTTCCAACACATCAATTTTGGTCCATTGATTTCCAGTCTCATGCTCCTTTTGTTTACCTGGCATGATCTCATAGTTATCTCAGTAGGCCTTTTTGTTTGGATTAAGTCAATCTTCTTGTTCCTTTTCCTAGGAACATTTATTTGTTATCGGTGATTGGAACGTTTTATAAACTTTTATTCACGTTCCCATAGTAGAGCTCACAAATGGAGTGGGTCTGTCAGGCCCTAGTTATTACAACAGGATTGTGGTTTGAGACCAGATGCAGATAACTGAAAAATCATAACAGGAATATAGAGAAGGTAATCCCCTCCCTAAAACTTCCAACTCAGGAGGGGGTTCAGAAAACTGGGGTGAACACTCTGCTCATTCACATTAGCTGTCCTTGTCATCTCCTGTTCATAGAATCATAGAACACTAGAACTGGAAGGGACCTCGAGTCCAGTCCCTTGACCTCATGGCAGGACCAAGCACTGTCTAGATCCTCCCTGACAGGTGTCTAACTTGTTCTTAAATATCTCCAGTGATGGAGATTTCACAACCCTGCTAGTCAATTTATTCCAGTGTTTAACCATGCTGACAGGCAGGAAGTTTTTTCTGATGTCTAACCTAAACCTCCCTTGCTGCAGTTTAAGCCTATAGCTTCTTGTCCTATCCTCAGAGGCCAAGGAGAACAATTTTTCTCCCTCCTCCTTGTGACACCCTTTCAGATATCTGAAAACCGCTATTATGACCCCTCTCAGTCTTCTCTTTTCCAAACTAAACAAGCCCAGTTCTTTCAGTCTTCCTTCATAGGTCATGTTCTCTAGACCTGTAATCATTCTTGTTGCTTTTCTCTGGACCCTCTCCAAATTCTCCATATCTTTCTTGAAATGTGGTGCCCAAAACTGGACACACTACTCCTGTTGAGGCCTAATCAGCACAGAGTAGAGCAGAAGAATGACTTCTCGTGTCTTGCTCACAACACTCCTATTAATGCATCCCAGAATCATGTTTGCTTTTTTTGTGTCACACTGTTGACTCATACTTAGCTTGTGGTCCACTATGACCCCTAGATCCCTTTCTGCTGTACTTTTTCCTATACAGTTGCTTCCCATTCTGTATGTGTGAAACTGATTGTTCCTTTCTAAGTGGAGTAGTTTGCATTTGTCCTTATTAAACTTCATCCTATTTACCTCAGACCATTTCTCAAGTTTGTCCAGATCATTTTGAATTATCACCCTATCCTTCAACACAGTTGCAACCCCTCCCAGCTTTGTATCGTCTGCAAACTTAATAAGCACACTCTCTATGCCAATATCGAAATAATTGATGAATATATTGAACAGAACCAGCTCCAAAACAGACCCCTGCAGAGTCCACTTGTTATGCCCTTCTACCGTGATTGTGAACCATTAATAACTTCTCTCTGGGAACGGTTATCCAGCCAGCTATGCACCCACCTTATAGTATAGAATCATAGGACTGGAAGGGACCTCGAGAGGTCATCGAGTCTAGCCCCCCGCCCTCAAGGGACACCATCCCTGACAGATATCTATCTAACCTGTTCTTAAATATCTCCAGAGAAGGAGATTCCACCACCTCCCTTGGCAATTTATTCCAATATTTGACCACCCTGACAGTTAGGAATTTTTTCCTAATGTCCAATCTAAACCTCCCTTGCTGCACTTTAAGCCCATTACTCCTTGTCCTGTCCTCAGAAACCAAGAGGAACAAATTTTCGCCTTCCTCCTTGTGACACCCTTTTAGATATTTGAAAACCACTATCATGTCCCCCCTTAATCTTCGTTTTTCCAAACTAAACAAGCCCAGTTCATGAAGCCTGGCTTCATAGGTCATGCTCTCTAGACCTTTAATCATTCTTGTCGCTCTTCTCTGTACCCTTTCCAATTTC